GACACCAATTTCGAATATGCTAATTAATGTGAATATTCAAATATCATTTCGATTTTTGATATTTGAATAGGAACACTGATGAAAACTACATCTCGAAACTCTGGTATATATCGTTAAAAAATAGGAGCTAATCAAAAGACAGTATATAATAACATTTGACTTATGAACAAACAACTATGGATCTTTGAGTAATAAATTAGAAATGTTGGTTTATTTTATTTCGTTCACTCATCCATCTATTCATTAAAAGAAATGTAACTTCAAAAAACAGATAATGGAGAAATATAACGTAGTTAACAGTAGCAGATAATGAATAATATTACTACTAACAACTTATTGTATATAACATCATATTAATATTAATGTTTGTTTTTTGTCAAAAAAAAAACAGATCTACCAATTAAACAATGGGATTGGATTATTGTTCAAAGTATAATGGTGGGTGGTAAGTAATAATATAAATAATAATTCTTATTGTATATAACTGTATGCAACGAAAGTATAACTAATTTATTATTATGGCTTATTGTTACGTGTTAAGTAATAATATATTAATATATTATTAATAATAATTTATTGTATACACATTGTATTAACGGGCTTATTATTATATTATGCATGCGACCATCAATATATTACTACTAATAATAATATTATTAATTTATTGTATACATAACATTGTATTAACGGGTTTATTATTATGGTTTATTGTTATTATTATGCACGCTGCCATCAAGGTAAGTAATAATATTACCAATAATAATATTATTAATAATTTATTGTATACATATATAGCATTGTATTAACGGGTTTATGGTTTATTGTTATATTATTCACGCGATCATCAAGGTAATGGTAATAGTAAATAATAATATATTACTTATTGTATTAACGAGGTTCATTATTATGGTTATTGTTATGTGTGGTAAGTAATAATATATTATTAATAATAATTCTTATTAATATATAACATTGATTAATATTCCTTTTCTTCCAAATGGGATTTACTATTAGTTACACATGATCATCAAAGCATAATGCAGTAACAATATATTATCAATAATAAATTTTATTATATATATAACATTGTATTAATATTCCTTTCTTCAAAAATGGGTTCATAATTAAACAATGGGTTATTTTCACACAACAATTAAAGAAAAAAATTAGTTATTCAAAACATTAATTAAATTCTACTTAAATTAAGTGTGTTTTAGTGGTATAATAAGTATGTTTTAAGTGTGCAAACTTTGCATAGGGTACACCAGCTGTTCTATCTCTGCTATCTCTTCCACTAGTTAATGGTATGATTAATCTTGGTTCAGCTGTGTCACCTTCTGTGCTAGTATCTGCTTGAACCAGTTCTGGAACTTCATCTTTAAATGTAAGTCCTCCAATTGGCCTTTGTAAGCTTTATAAGGCTCAGGGACTGTGATTGGTTCTCCATTGGTCCAAACACTGTAGTTTCATGATCATATTAAACTGACTATGGCTGGTGGTTTTTCATGATCACATTCTAATGGTAAGGGACTAGGACCAAGTATTTTTTGTAAAATTCAATAATAAAATAATAAAATTTTCTTTTATTAACTTTTTTTATTTGTGTTAAAGTAATTGTTGTAAACATACAGCTGTTAAATGAACAGTTTAAGGAGTCTTGTAAAGAGACCAAATTAATAAAGCTTTAAGTGGTCAAAGGAACTTTTGCCACTTTACATAAATTGTACCATAAAG